CAAAATAAGATTTTGGAATTAATTATAAAGAATCATTCCTGTGGGAAAGTCAACTTGTTCTAATTTTTTTTTCTAAGACATAAAACAAATAAACAATTTTAAAAATTGGACACTAGAACACACTAAAGATTTTAAGTAAAAGAGAAGAATACACAAACCTGATTAACAGCTACAGAGTGATGCAAAATATTATAACATTGGAAATACTGAAGGCTACTTTTAAAAAATGGAATCAGAAGTTAATATCAACAGTGTCAATAGCAATGTTTGCTTCTATAGATAGACTGTGCCCAAAAGATGTTTTGGAAGAAATGGCAGAAGAACAACAAGTTTTATCTAACCAGACAGAGACAGAGTTGACACTGAAAGGCTGCAAGAAGGACATGGAAAAAGATGTTTCCTTGGACATACAAAAGCAATTGGTTCGTGCTTTAAAAATCAAAAGGGAATTACAAATAATGAACCAAGAGAGTGACCTGGATCATTCTTTTATATTGGGTTTACAAAAGAGGTTTGTTAAAGCTTGGATGAATCTTGTGAGAAGGGGTAAAAAAGAAATGAAAAGAAATCATGTTTGACAACATTACTTGAATGGACTAAAGATTAAGATTGTTAGAAGTAAAAGGAAGGAATATGAAGTTGGTTTATTTGATCAAGGTGTCCTGCTTTTGGTTTTAATTACTCATTCACACACAGTTGCTGTGGTAGTTCACAGTTTGCTCAAGGTTAGGAGATAACAAAAGAAGGCAAACCAGACCAGAGTCTCGGATAGTCACTCACCTGAATTATTTGCCATTAACAGGAGAAAGCAGAAGAATAGTCCAGGTTCAGTCCAAGGTTCTGAGAGCCAGGTCAGGGTTGTCAGCCAGTCCAGGGGTCAGAATTACACAAGCAGAATTCACACAAACATCACACAACAGCCAGAGATCAGACTGTTGTTTCCAGCAAAAGAACATGGGTCAGAGTTGCCTCTTAAATAAGGCTGCAGGCAGCTGTTGCTAATCAAGAGATGTACTCCCTTGCTTGGCAAGGAGCCTCATAGAACTTCTCTGCTCTGCTCTGCATTCTATGTCCCGGGTGCAGGGGCTGGAAGGCCTGATGTCATCATCACCTGACTTAGCCAGCTGTTCAGATGGTGCCTGTATTTGATCAGCTTCAGAGGGTTCTTGGCTTTGGGTCTCCTGAGGGTGACATTCCACAGGTTCTGCTGGAGCCTCTTTCTCAACATCTGAGTCGTCTGAGACCTGGGCCATGACACAAGGTTAAAATAGCTATGTTGTTATTTCTGGCAATCCTTAATGGGACTTGCTAATCACCCCCAGCAGCCCCTCGTTAACAATTCAATAGAAGAAAAAACCCTGCCTAACCCCCAGGAAGATCCACACAGATACTGACACAAAAAAAAGCAGCCACTCAGTAACTCAACCCCCCCCCCACACACACCCA